GGGGTAGGGATGGGGGCGGGGGTGATCTGCTCCCTGCGGCCTCACTTTGAAATTTGAGCCCTGAAATCCTGGATGTTTGTCTTCCTCCTTTTGCAGTGTAGTTACTGGCCTGGTGCTTGTGGGGGGGGAGTCCCTGGGGAGCGGGGGTGAGCTCAGCAGGGGTGGAAAGGCCTGAGGGCCGCGCCAGTGGCCCAGTTTGTACCCTGGGAGCCTCTCATTCATTTGCCACCTGGATTCACAGAACTGAAAGCAGCCACCCGCCTCCCTTGCAGCCTGAGCAGCCTGTGTGCGTGGCAAGTGAGGCTCAGCTTGCTCTGCTCCCCACGTTTTAAAGAGCTTCCCTCCCTCCAGAACTTCCGCAGCCACCAGGCCCACCGCGGGTCGCCTGCTGCCCTCTAGGCTCAGCTGGAAGGCGGCCCCAGCTCATGGCAGGAGCGGGTGTGCTGTGCTTACTTGGGGATACGATTCCAGAAGCAGATTGGTGTTTCGGTTTGCAGGAGGGGGCTCTCCCTGAAACGTGTTGCAGGCGTTCCAGACTCACGCCATGGCTCCTGGCTGGTGTCCCAGTGTGGGGTCAGCCGACGGGATAGAATGGCCAGGGACAAACCTGCGGGCGTGGGAGTCGAGCGCACTCGGCGGGGGAGGGTAGGCACAGAAACGGTGCTTGAGCAGCCTGAGTTCTCGGGCCTTTTGAGGAGAAGTTACAAGAATGGAGGTGTTGGTCCGACGCTGAGATGTGCAGGCGTGTGGGCGCGGGTCTCCGGCTCTGTGCCCGCTGTGGTGGCTGTTTTTCACCACGACCCGCTTCAGTCACAGCTCCCAGAGATGGCCGTCTGTTCTGTGACGTCTGCGTTCACTGTACATGGCAGGTCCCTAACCCGCCGTCGCCTGCTTGGTGTTTTCTGCAGCTGGCGGCTCATACTACATGATATCACGGTCGCTGGGGCCGGAGTTTGGGGGCGCCGTGGGCCTCTGCTTCTATCTGGGCACGACCTTCGCAGGGGCCATGTATATTTTGGGGACCATTGAGATTTTCCTGGTAAGTGCCCTGTTGGGAGCTGGTTCCCCTCGCGGTGCTTGCCGTCAGGCTCTCCTTCCCAGCTGTCCTTGTCACATGGCAGACATTCTGGGTCCTTCTGCAGGAAGTTTCCCCCTGAAACATGAAGTACTTGCGCTCAGTTTCTTGTGTTTTAAGGTTTGCCAGACCTCTCAGAGGTCACGCTCTCTGGGACCCGCTGGTCCCACCGCCCCTTCTGTCCCGATTTCCATCCTGCTCTGGGGCTGAGGGCATGGCTGCCCAAAACACCAGCGCCTCCGTACTCTGGGTGCCTGATGGTGGGCGCAGGGTGACGTGTCCCCAAGCCCGTTCGTCAGGCCCCCACACCTGGTCCCGCCTGCTTCTCAGAACAAAGTCCCCGGCCCCTTGGCCCATCCTCCCAGCAGGACGCACCGAGCATCGGGCGTGTCTGCACTCCATGCCTGCTTGCATGGTTCTGGGAGGGCTGTGCTGGGCCAGCACTGAGCTCTCCAAGCTGGAATTACATCCCTGTTAGTAGAAAAACATCGCTTTTCCTTTAAATTAGGAAAGTGGGGAATGCTTGTGTTCTAATGCTGCCTCACTGTGAAGGGTCCTAAGCGACACCTCGGAATTGTGCCCTGTCCCTCGCCGTTCGATGCCCGTTTTGTGCACCTGAGGGTCCCTAGTGGGCACATTCTGGTGGTGCGGGGCCTCCGGGGAAGCCCAGCTCCGAGCAACCCAGAGAAGGGCCCCTCAGGAAGTCGTCTCTGACCCCATGGGGTCACCTTCCTGGCAGGAGCGGGTGGGCGGCCTCTTGACCCGCTTCGTCCCCGCAGACCTACATCTCCCCCGGAGCGGCCATCATCCACGCGGCCTCTGCGGATGGCGAGGCCGTGGCCATGCTGCACAACATGCGCGTGTACGGGACGTGCACGCTGGCCCTCATGGCCATGGTGGTCTTCGTGGGCGTCAAGTACGTCAACAAGCTGGCCCTGGTGTTCCTGGCCTGCGTGGTGCTGTCCATCCTGGCCATCTATGCCGGCGTCATCAAGACCGCCTTCGACCCACCAGACATCCCGTGAGTCCTGGGTCTGTTGTTGGGGGTCCCTTGTCCTCGGTCCCTTTTCCCGGCGCCAGGTGTGTAAGAACACAGTGTTTCCTAGTTTGTGTTTCAGGTTTTATCTGTGGCCACAGCGGTGGGGTTGGGGGTGGAGGCGCCCCCATGAGTCTTGTTGTCTCACTGGCTTCGGGGACGAGCAGTCAGATGCTCTTGTCCTCAGCCATCTGCAAAGGAAAGACAGGACGGGAGCTCTGGAGAAGGCCCGGGGCACACAGGGTGGCCCGCGGCCCTGAGGAGGGTGTGGCCTCCTCCCCTGACCTCAGGAAAACCCCCAAGTGGGTTCTTTCCTTGCCCCGTTTTGAATGAGGTCATTGAGTCACAAGGAAGTGGCCCTAGGTCACAGCGAGCCAGCCGGTGTGGCCAGCGTTCAGGCCTCAGGTTGCCCAGTGGGTCCACCACCCGTGGGGCTGACGGGAGGAGCGTGGCGACGGTGGCAGGGTGGCGGCTGGCAGCAGCCCCCTGCTCCTGTGCTTGGCCGTCTCCACGTGGAGCGAGTAGCCCGTTCATTCCTGCGTCCGAGGCCGCAGGACAGGGCAGCAGAACGGACTGTCCCTTAGCCCTTGCTGCGTGAGAGCCTGTGACTCAGGAAGTGCAGCCTCAGGGCTGGACTCCTGCTGAGATGTGGATGTTCCCTTCGTGCCAAACGGGCAGTGTCGGAAGCTCTTTACAGGGACTCCGGGGACCTCCACCTGGTCCCCTGGGAGCCGCACGTGCCCTCACGCCCCCACCCCCGCTGCAGGGTCTGTCTGCTGGGGAACCGCACGTTATCGAAACGCAGCTTTGACGTCTGTGCCAAAGTCCACACCACCAGCAATGGCACGAGAACCACCGCGCTCTGGGGCCTCTTCTGCAATGGCTCCGCGCACAGTGCCACCTGCGATGATTACTTTGCCCAGAACAACCTCACGGTGATCCAGGGCATCCCTGGCGTGGCCAGTGGCGTCCTCCTGGGTGAGTGCCCGGTGGGGCCGCGTCCGAGTCTCCGGGAGCCGTCCTGCTGCTCAGCCTGGCCGCGCTGCCCCTTGCCCTGTGCTGACCCTCCAGGGCCCCGCCCTGCTCAGGCCGAAGACGTGGTCATGTCATGGTGGCCAGCGGGGCAGCGGCTCCACGTCAGTCCTTTGTCTTGAGGCCTCTGCAGCAGCTCTGTTAATGAGGGACGTAATTAACGGGTGTGGACTGGATTTCTGTCTCTGCATTCTTCTGTGATGAGGAACTGGGCTGGCTCCCCCCCTCCCCCCACCTGGGAGAGAGGCCTGGCCTTTCAGGGAAAAGGAAGCAGGGTGACCGCGAGGCCGGGAGCACGGGGCCCCAGCTGCCCGTCCCTTAGTGGGTTGGTATTGCGGGCCCCTCCGAGGTTGTAATGACAGTGGGCGTTGGGGGTTCATGGGGGCTGTGCTGAGTTGAGGTGGGTGGGCAGTGATGGGTCAGGGCTATCGTGACCGCTGTCCACGTGTCCCTGAGCGTGGGGACCCTGATGCTTCAAGCCCAACCCCCACTTCTGGGCTCTGGCAGAGCAAGACCCCTGGAAGGGGCTGCAGTTTGCAGGTCACACAGGGAAGGTATAGGTGGAGACAGGGGTACCCCGTTTTGTGGGAGCAGAGGTGGGTGGAAGGGATGTAGGTGTGGCGGTGACCTGCGGGGAGTGTGGGGTTCCCTATAGGAGATGTCCATGTTGGGGATGGCTCTGGGGCTGCGCTCTGCAAGTGGGGATTCTGTGGGGAGGGTGTCCATAGGCTGCAGCCAGTCAGGCTGGGATCTGCCAAGGGGAGCATTGGCACAGGTGGGAGGTGGGCCCAGGTGTCACCACAACCATGTGTATATTGTTGCCCCTCAGTGGGGGCCCCATGTGGAGGGATCGCTGACTAGCTGTCCACAGGGAGACCTTCCCTCAGTCCTCAGGCAGCTTGCCAGGGGCACTTTTGTTGTTCAAGTGAAGTCTCCCCGTCAGGTTTTACTTTAGGACTGAGATCTTTCAGAGTAGGTGAGCAGTTTCCTCAGGAAATGTTTCATGTCCTTGTGCGAAGCAGGAAGCACACAGGGCAGTGCCAGGCGCGTCTGCTCGGCCTCCCCACGGCAGGAACCTGATGGAAAGTTCCGGAGTCCTGTTACCCAGCCTTTTCCCCCGCAGATAACCTGTGGAGTGTATACACGGACAAAGGCGTATTTGTGGAGAAGGCGGGCACGCCCTCGGTGCCTGTGCCGGAGGAGAGCAGAGCCAGCGGGCTGCCCTACGTCCTCACCGACATCATGACTTACTTCACCATGCTGGTCGGCATCTACTTCCCCTCCGTGACCGGTGAGGCCGGAGCCGCCGCCCCCTCCCTCGGCCCTCACACACCCAACCCCGCGCCCCCTTTTCTTTCTCGTCTTGCTCAAGTATGAGCCCACCTCTGCTCCCCATCTGTTCTGAGTGGGGAGCTCAGGAAGCCGTGTGGTTTAAATGAGCTGTGTTGCCTGCTCCCCTGCGAGGCCCACGGCGTTAGAAGCAGCTTGGTGACTGCGGCACGGTCTTGTGGAGAAGGCCCGGGTTGCTGTGAGGTGGCGCCTAGGAGAGGACATGGAGGGCAGTTAGAGGCCAGGTGCTGCACCGTCCTTGTCCTTGTGAGAGTCAGCTGGCCTTCCCGGGTGAC